CTTTTTTTTTACTGTTTTAAGAGATGCCCTTTTTTCATTTCGGGAATATGAAATGGGTATTTCCAATTTTTTTGTTAATACTGAGGGTTTTGGTTGCAGATCGGCTCCAGATGGGTGAAGTTGTCTCCACGATACCGAGTTAGTCCTTATTCATTTTTTCATTTCTTTTGTTTTGTTTGTTGGGGATCATTGAGCATTTTGATATGTTGAGGGAAGTTGGAATTTGATCCGTTGTTATTTTCAAATCAGCGGATCAAAGTCTTCTTCAATATTTAAGAATTGATGTTTAATTTGTTGTGTTCTTTATGGTGCAGCAATTGGATTTAATGTGGAAACGGTGCAGTACAATAACATCAAATTCCAAGTTTGGGATTTAGGTATGCGGACCAGTATTCCTTGATCTATATCTTAACATTTAGAAATGTCCTGGGATTTTGATTATATATTCCTGTCGATTGATTGTTTTATGGTTGAAGATAAGGAAAACTAAATCACAGGATGTATTGATATTAGAATCATATTAGAGCGCACACAACCTCTGTAGCTTACAGAAATTTCAGTAAGAAGAAACAGTTAATATGTTGAGATTTTAAACCTTCTATTTCTTATATCAAAGACTTTAATGAAGTAATTATCACTTATGGTACTCTAAGTCTTGATTAACTGGCCTTTTACCCTCAATTCACATGATTCTTTTACTGCTCTCCTACGTCTTTATTCATCTATTATAAGTATCTCTTGTGAGAACCATCATAGTAAGTAACAACTTGAAGCAAGTTTACAGAACTAAGTGCTCTTTTTCGTCAGAGGAACTTTTTTGAAGCTGGGTGAAATAGAACTTTCACTTATTTAGAGACATCTGCCACACCTATTGGAGAAACAAGAAACAATAGAAGCTTAACTTTGCTTGCCAGTTCAAACTGAATTTCTGCAACCTTCTTTTCTGATGCAATTTTGCTGTTATTCGAAGCCATTGGTCTTAGTATTAGGCTTAAATTGAATACATTGTTTTGAAAGTTTTTTTTTTCATTCTGGGTTATTTAGTTTTATTAGTCAAACATAGGTAATGCCAACTATTTGTCCTGATGACATCTTTATCATTTACTGATGCAGGTGGACAGTCAAGTATCAGGTAAACTTTTCCAAACATAATTTTTCTTCGCTTTCTATTTTTGTAATTCTTTATTATTTATTTAACTTACTTTTTACGGGCAACTCTTTCGTGAGATATTTGGTGCCCTAAACCTCTATGTAAAGTTGTGCCTTTGTGCATCTACAATAGGCCGTTGGCTACTTAGACCATTTAATAGAGCTAATATTGTTTCTCTTCAAAGTTGTACAATAAACAATGTGTTGTGTTAATTACAGAAAAGATACGGTGTATGTCTAATATGGTTATATCCATTTCATTGCGACTTATTCTGATTAATGTTTGATGCATAAAAAAGAATCATTTTGATACTTTAGTTGTACTGTTTATACATATCCAGCCAGCTACTTGAACCAGATCAGATGTAGTAAATTTGTGATTGGATATAGTTATAACATTTATTTACTTTTAATGCTATTGAACTCATTTTTGCTAAAGATCGGCTAGGATAATAAACATCTTCAAAATGCCACAACTAACAATAAACCATCTTAGCCTCTCCTTCTATACATTTGAGAGACTGTCTAAAACTGTTTTCACTGTACACTCTGACCCTATGTTTTAAGGCTATTGTATATTAACATTTAAATGTTCTTGAAAATGCCTTTTGTTTCATTCTTTTGGCATCAAACAAACCTACTTAGTGTCTGTCATGTCATTTTAATATGATGTCATGGTTTCCTCACTTTACACCACCACTTGTAATTAGGACTTGTGATTTAATTGAGAGTGCTATTCCGGGCTGTTCCACTGTCTATAATTTGTGAAATAATTTCAAACCTAGTGAGAAGCTCCTGCTTCTCTCATGGTTCAAGGTGATTTTATTTTCATCCATCATTTCATCTTTTCCATCGCCGTCCGCCGACGTTAATCATCACCGACCGCCGTCCGTCGCCTGCCGTCCTTCGCCACACTCCGTCATCCGTTCGCCGCCGTTTCTCCTCAATAAGTTCGTCTCCTCACTTTGATTCCATTTTCGAGATTAGATTTACGAGAAAGTCGGTCAATCGGCATAGATCTAAACGCCGGTTTTCACCGATTTACGCCACCGTCCGTTGCCAATACACCTGCTTACCACTAGGCTCGCCGTACACTCTTGAATAAATCCCATCTATACGAGCGTCCAGACTCGTTGCCAATCTCTGTGAATCAGTCTTCGACCGGTTTGACAAAAACATAACAAGCCATGGTTCTGTCAAGTTGTTCTCCCCATCTAAACCATCTCTGAGGGTTTGGTTGAAGGACAACTACGTAGTTTCATCTTTCCTCAGGTTCAAGTTCTACCTGTTGGACTCTCTTCATCACCTCCACCCTTCTCTTCTTCGTCGGCAGTCACAGCATTCACCACCACCGGGCGCGCGTCAAGGAAGTTTCGTCAAATCACTGTGATTTTAACTTTAACAGATAATAATCACATGCTGGGTGCTGGAATTTTTCTCCAGCAGAGGCCTCCGGTCCAAGCTTCTCCACCCTCTGCAGCCGCGCCTTCTCCACCATCTCACCCTTCTCATCACGACGAGGTTCGTACGATCTTCATTATGGGTATGCCTGAAGATGTCAAAGAGAGAGAGTTGCAGAATCTACTAAGATGGCTTCCAGGTTTTGAAGCTTCGCAAGTGAGCTACAAGGGAGAAAAGCCTAAGGGTTTCGCTCTCTTCTCAAATGCAGAATTTGCAGTTGCTGCCATGGATGCCCTTCAGAAAATTGTTTTTGATGCTAAGTTGAAGTCCCTTCTGCACATTGAGATGACAAGGAAGAATCTTGTTGTTAAAAGAGGAATAGTTACAGTTTCTGATGCTTTAGACAAGTATGGATGTGATCTTGTTCCTCCAGTACTGCCAATGCCAAATTCAGCTTCTGTAGCATCTCCTAGTATTCATGTGCCTGGTAAAGCTGGGTGTTGCGATGAAAAATCTGCAGTAGATGGTGTCCACGAGGGAACCAAGGAGTCCACTACAAAGGGGTGCAGTAATGACAAGTATGGATGCTACACGTTATTTGTTGAAAATTTACCAGAGAAGATCTATTGGAAATGGTTTGGATCTTTATTTTGCTCCCACGATCGGGTTCTTGATACTTTTATTCCAAATAAAAGAAATTCAAAAGGAGTTCGCTTTGGTTTCATCCGCTTCGCAACAATCGAAGAAGCAAGGAGAGAGATCTCAAAAATGAAAGGTTCTCATAACGACGACAACAAAATTGGTGTTTCTTTCGCTAAATTCAAACCTCGACATTTCTATTGAAGAAAGTCCTCGACAGTTGTTCACCGCAAGTCCGGGATGGAAGGTGATTCGAGGAAGAATCATTATGAAGTTGAAGGCGTTATGGATGAAGAAAAAATTTAAGTGATGAGCAATTGTCTAGTGGGGTGGTGCAAGGACTTTATCAAAATCGGTCATCTCGCTAGACAAATGCATGCGAAGGGCCTCACTGGCTTCTTCTTAATGAGAGCTGCAGGAAATGCGGTTTTCATGATTTTCGAAGACTCTGCTTCATTGAGAAGTGTGAAGAACGATAAATCAGAGACTCTCGCAATGTGGTTCTCCAGAGTCGAAGCTTGGTCTGAGAGTTTGGTAATGGAGTGTCGTCGAGTATGGTTAGTTTGCGAGGGTGTTCCTTTTCACGCATGGAATTGGGATACTTTCAAGAACATTGCTGATAAGTGGGGTTATTTACTAGCAATCAACGAAAGCTGTCAGTCACCATCATCCTTTGGTCGGGCAAAAATTCAAATCCTCACAAAGGTTGATGCGAGAATTGATGCGACGTTGGAATTGAAGGTTGGTGACGACTCTTTCAATATCATGGTGCACGAGATAGAGCCTTCATTCAAACCAAACTCTTGGGCTCATGAAGAAGACGAATCTCATTAGATCTCGTCTCTCCAATTGTGGCTTTGATTTAGTTTAAATGATTGCAGGTGTTGCTTTTCCTTTGTATTATGTTCTTTTGCGTTGTTTTTAATCCAATTGTTGGAGGTGTAATTAGAATTAAGGTGATTCGACTGTGGCTTAGAACGAGGATATATGAGTTTAAGGTGTTTGTTGTAATGACCATAGGAGGATTTTCCGTGTTGTCTTTTGTATTGGGTATTATTAATAATAAACTATGAGGTATTCTTTTCTTCCTTCCAATGTTCGTTAACATACTTCTTAGTATGTGAACGAATACGAAGGAAGTTTTTAATGAGACTTCCAATTTCTATAAAAAAAAAGAAATAAAATAAAATAAGTTTTCCATCGCACAGTGTATTCATGCTAGGCAAAAAGATTCAGGTTTTAGTGTATGATTTATGTATCATTTGCTCATTCTAATCAAGTTTTATTTTATGAATTATATATTATTTATCTGGATGCACTTGATAACATGTTGCTCCCTGAAATAGATCACCAACCAAGGTTCCAATTTTCTTTTGCTCTGCAGGCCATATTGGAGATGCTACTTTCCAAATACTCAGGCCATAATCTATGTTGTTGATTCAAGTGACACAGATAGGCTGGTGATAGCTAAAGAAGAATTTCATGCTATCTTGGAGGTAAATTCACCAAGATATATTTGCTCATATTTCTGTATTTTACTGGTGTAACTAGTGCCGTCCATAAGATATTCCATGCTGTGAAATCTTTCTGTTGCCTTTCTGCTGCTCCCCCTTGAAGGTCATTTCCTTATGATTATCTTCAATTTTTAAATGTTATTTCAGGGTTTTATGGTCTTGCTGTATTTCTCTTCCTTTAATGTATTTTATTTATTTCTATGAAGACAGATTTAGAAGATTACTTTTTCTACTTGTCATTCGTTTCCCACGAAAAATATATGAACTGAGAAGCATGGACATTCGTGAACCCTGCTTGTACAGATGTCCGACACAGGCATGCCGCGACAAGCCGGAATACGTACTATATAAGTTGGAATAGGGGGAAAATTGGACATAAGAAACTAGTTTGGCGATCTATTTCAGGGAGCAACATAGATTGCATGAAATTATAGTGAATAAGGTGAAGCAGATGCAGCGACCGAAGAAAGAAAAAGGAGGAAGAAAGATAAAAAGAAAGCAGGAAGAAAGAGGAAATGAAAAAGCAGGATCCCTTTTTAGTGGTATTTTAATTAGAAGTTGGGCTTGGGCTAAAAGGTTGAAAAAACCCAAACTTTCAATATTTTATTTTAGCCCCAAAATAAAAAGATTAATTAAAATTTAAAATATTATTATTTTCAAGGAATAAAAAATTTAAAATTAGCTGATAATAATAAAATTATTCATTAAAATACTTTAATTAAAAAGAACTTTGATATGAAATGTAAAAATAAAATTCATTTTGCAGATTTTAATTGATGTATTTTTGCCCTGCCGTGTCCTAGAATTTTAATAATTACCGTGTCATGTTGCAACTGTATTCGTTATCCATGTCCATGCTTCACACTTCACACTTCACACTTCACACTTCACACTTCACAGGTCATCAAGTATACCTTTTCCCCCTTTCACTATCAATCAAGATTAGCTTATACATCTATTATGAACTACTGCTTGGTGCTTCCAATATTTTCTTTTTACTTTTTAATGCTTGATTTATATGTTTTCATGCTTCTTTTGTTATAGTTTGTGTGAATCTTTGCAGGAGGAGGAGCTAAGAGGAGCAGTAGTTCTTATTTTCGCAAATAAACAGGTTGGTTCTATTTTTTTCTTCTTGGAGCTGTGTTAGAACTCATTCTTTTTGCTTTTCTTATGTGTGATATTGAGCAAAAGCTGGTTATGGTCATCATATTAGAGAGTTAACTTGGATTTTGTTTACCGTACACATTGAGAATGAATACATCATGTATACATTAATCATGAATATGAACTTCATGAGTTCTATTGCTCAAATTAGTGGTTAATATGCAATCCAAATCCATTATTTCAAATTGAAGTTCCTCCCAAATACATCCTCAAAAATTTTAGTGAGAAAAGAGGAATAACCTTTTCATTTGGTGACCAAATATTGTAAAAATCTTTGGTTATTTTTTATTTATGAAATTTTCTTGTAGTTAATGTCACATTTATTGGAGCATACAGGATCTTCCAGGTGCAGTTGATGCTGCTGCGGTGACAGAGGCTTTGGAGTTGCACAAGATAAAAAACCGCCAATGGGCTATTTTTAAAACTTCGGCGACTAAAGGGGAAGGCCTTTTCGAAGGCTTGGACTGGTAGGTTTTGGATCACATGTTTTTCTTGAATTAGATTGGCCAAATTCGATAGTTACATATATAATGCCACCCATGCTATGATGAGATTCATCACATGCATTTATGGATAACAACTTCAAAGTGTTAATTTTCTTTTCAAAGTAAATCCCATCCTCTCCTTGAAAATTCATAATTTTCTGTAGCAGAATGGTAAGTTAATTGTTTATGCACATTGAATAGTTCATCTTTATGAACGGTAGCATGTCATAATGAAGGCAAGGACACTTGTACATGACTGCCTACTCTGCCAATGTTTTATTTGATTCTGTTCACTTCTTGGACATTGTTTTAGCCACTTACGATTGATGATTCTTAGAATTAGCACAAGTAGAAAACATCTGAGATGCATTTTCACTTTTCTTTTCTTAACTCCATGAATTTATTTTTGCTCATTGTAGGTTGAGTAACACACTTAAATCCGGAAGTGGCTAAGCTAACTCGTGTATTCGTAGCTTGCGAATTTACGGGGAATCGTGTTTGCTCTGTATGATCTATTAGAAATTTGAGTCCTTGCAGATTTACGGCTTTCTGATTTTGATTTCTTTGTTGAGTAAACTAGTAGACGTGAAATTTTTGTTAAAGATTTTAACATTTTCATTCTTAATTGATTCTACATGTGCTTCCCCCTACGGAAGCCGATAAAATAAATAAATTAAAAATCAAATTTACGTTTATTTTTAACAACTTTTGATTATATGATTTTTTTAAGATGTGTCGTGTGTCATCAATAAAAAGATGACATGCGGATAATCAATTGATCTAGTGGAATGAAACACTAGATTTCTTAAACAAGGCTAGGAGTTTGAACTACGACGTTTGCGAATGAAACAAATTAAATTGGGAGGGTTGTTTCATAATGGACTTGTGGAAAATTCGATTAGGAATAGTCGATTAATAGATCAGAAACGAGTAGTTAAACTATAAAAAATATTTAAATATTAAAATTATTAATGTATTTAAGTCAAGCATTAACGTTAAACTAGTAAGGGAAACAGTTTTATTTGAATCAGGACATATGCTTTTTTTCTCATCTTTTTACGATCTCTTTACATTCCCGTTAAATTAAAAAAAAATTAATCTAAAATCAATTTTAAAATCCCGTAAATGCAACAATTATGGTTCAATTGCAGTTGTCTATTTAACTGAATCTTTGACTAATCATGCAATGAAATCGCTAAGTTTATACATTTCCAAGCTACCATCCATCAAGATGTGCTTGCTAGATCGTATTAAATCAGAAATTTTGATGGAGGGTCAAATTGCTGTGCTAAACTACACCTTATAAATAGGGATGAACATTTGGTTCAAACCTGATAAGTTTAGATTCCTCTTGATTTTATAGGATTGAGTTATTTTTTTAAAATTTTGATTCAAGCTAAGGGTAAACTTTGTATATTTAGGAAAAATTGTTATAATTCCTCTTTATCTATATTTTTTCAATTGGCTTCCTATTTTATCTAATAAAGATGTGAATTATATATATATTTGTCAGGTGGAGTGCAAGATTTTACCTTAATAATCGGGTCGGATGAAATTTACCTAAACTCGGATTGAGTAACAGATAGAAGGATGTTATACTCTGATTAACTTTAAGTAGATAAAAGTCTAACTCAATTTAACCCATGACCATCCCTACTTGTAAACCAGTGTTTTAATCTTCGCTGCAGATATAATCCAAGTTTAGTGCTATGTCTCTCTCTTTGTTGGGTGTTTGTGAATTTGTATTAAGATTTGACTCTTCGTTTCGATGTCATTAGTTTCTACCAAGGATTTAAATAGTAATCTGTTATCGTAACAATGTCTGTTATATAGCGATAACGATTCTGTCTGATATTGTTTTTGTATGACCACTAAATGTAATCCCCTCAGACCGATGCGGGTAATTCGATCCGATCTGGAGTGTCACATTAGGGCCACCGGAGCGACCCACTATAAAAATAGCGGAAAATTTAAAACTTTTCTTAAAACTTGTAAACTCATAAATTCATTTGTCACTATTAAAAAATAAAACATATTTTCAGACTTGTATATAAAACAAAATACAATTACATGCCCCCTAATCACATGTACCGTACTATGCAAATAGCATCGGAAGAACTCCCTTACTGAAGTCGATAGGTGCATTGGTACAGTTCTTTTAGCCTGAAAATATGAGTAACAGAGTGAGCTTTGGAAAGCTCAGTAATACAGAACTACCAGATGATGCTGATGAACGTGCAGATACAGATAAACATATATTTCCTTATTGTTTCCGAATATTTACAGATTTTTATGCTGAGCAGAGATCCTTTTGATATTTCATGTGGTAACGGACAATGAGCTTTCAGTTCAGAGAAATATTTCAGATGACTGAGTTTAGGAGATCAGAATAGGTTATCTAGTGTGTTCCCAAAAACCATATAATTTTTCAGATCTTTTTAAAACACACACACATATATATATATATATATATATATACCCCCATCCCAACACAACATAATGTGTAGGTTCCCCAGAACCATACACCCAACCCACACAATTTGTAAGGCCCTGAGCACAAAGCCGAGGAACCTGCGGAAATACTTCCTTCAACAATACCCCCCAATTAAAACATTTTTCCGTCAGTAAACGGAGATATCAAAAATCAAAGCAAAATTCAAAATAGATATCAGAACAGAATCTAGATCAGAAATCAGAACAGAATTCAGGTCATGTATCAGAACATAATTCAAGTCGGAAATCAGATAAAATATTTAAATGTTTAGGGAACACACTAGAGTTTACAGATATTATTCAGAGGTATTGGATAATCTTATCAGACAGAAGAAACAAGGATCTTTCATACACCGATAGAATGTCGGAATTTAGAATCACTATTGGAAGAGTTCAATAACTGATAGAATCATCAGTTATTCAGAATATAATTTATTAGGATCATCTTATTCGAATAATTTTCAGAAGCTCTACGAAATCTGAAGGGTATTCAAAATCTTTACCATCTATGACGATAAATCCGATTATCGAATAACTCCAGATGAATAGCTTCCATAACCAATACTTATCAACTTGTCAATTCATTAACCTTCCAGGTTATTCACTCTTTAATACCAAATATTCTTATCCATGGATCATCTTCTGAGTCATCACTGAATATATCTTAAGGAGACTAACAAATATTCTAATGGTCTTTATTTCATTTCCATGTTTCAACTATACCAGGAAATGCTGACGTACTTTATTTGTGATTCATAATCCATAGGGATGATAAATCACATAAGTTCATCCGAGTTTCCAAACTTATTTCAATCTCTTACTTAATCCTCAGTCATTGCGGTTACTTAGTTCATTTAGCATTCAAGTGAATTCTAGTTACTTCGGGATTTTCCAGAGTAATTCAAACGTTACTAAATTTCATATACATGTTGTACTTCTGTTCCATTCAATTTGGTCTTCGTGGTTGATTTGTTGAACAAACTTCCAATCTTAATACTGAATGTGATCTAGAGTTGAGCTGAGCTGAATACTTCCAAAATTTATTATCGAGCCAAACTTGACAAGACGAACACTTATTCCAGTAATATCTATGTCGTTTAGGTATTGATATAGCTTTAGGGTTGATCTACTCATTTAAATTGTGCTCCATTACTTTTAAAGATAGTCCAATACATGTGCTTACTTGGATTCCTTAATTAATCCAAGACATTTACTTGGTATAGGCCATAAGGGTATTTTGGTCATTTTGGTGTTCAGTTTTATTCCAATCATTACATAGCTCGAGGATATCGAATCATTCATGAGCTTGGTGATATTCTTGAGTCATTTCCATTACAGGGGTATTTTGGTCATTTTACAGATTCAATGTATTTTAATTCTTTTCTTCCATCCAATCTTACTATTAAATTAAATCTTATCCTTGATTTCAGTCATTTTGAACAATTCTGACAACAGAATACCCCCGATAAACTATTCTTCAGGTATTTACTCATTACTTGGATATTTTCGGGTCAAGTGTCTTCTCAGATTTTACAAACTAAATATCATGAATTTTTTATACAAAGATAGGATCTTAACAATTAATTCCGTAATTTATCGAGTTAAGTACAAATCCTCAAAGTACTTTCTCATTCCGGGTCAACTCGGACTATTTTTAACTCTCAAGGGCATTTTCGTAATTTCTTAATTAGATAATCTCGATATTAGCTCTTAACGAAAATAATTATAATTTAAAGATCCTATGGTCAATTGCTTTCTCGAACATTCTCTAAACTTGAAATTATTCCTTAACAAACTTCTAGCATCTTGCGCAAACCGTTGTTGGCGTTAAAAACCAGTTATTCAAATTTTCTAAACAAAACTATCATTTCTTATGCACATCTGTAATTATATCGGATCAATGTCTTTTTAGAGTTATTAACCAACTTCCAGGGACAATTCTTGTCATCCTACAACATAAGGGTATTTTCGTAATTTTACCCTACCGGAGTATTCTCATAATTTTCCATCTAAGTACCTTTAACATTTAACCTTTGATAATATAAAATATAAGTTACAAATCCAGGGTTGATTTCTTTATCACTAACCACAAACTTATAATTTAATTATAACAATTCCTCAATCTTTTGTATTAGTCATTCGATCTGTATTCAGTTACAGAATTACTACCACATTCATATCGAGTGTATATAAATTATTTCACTCCACAAAAGTGACTAAAATTATCTTATTCATGCATTTACCAATATCAACATATTCCATAAAGCATAAAGAGGTAATAAAGTATTACCTCGATTTCCGTGCAATACTGATCGACCATAAAAATTCCATTCGAACACCTTTGATCTTTAATTCAACTTCCAATAATTCCTCAGATACATATCAACATAAATTATATAAAAAAACGGAGCTTAGTTGCGATAAACAGATCGAATCGGGTGATAAAATCAGTGAAAAAAAGCTTACCGGGTTCGAATTTTGCCAAACAGACTTCGGATTCGGATTCAGGACGTCGAAAGCATAAAATATGACTTTTTGAAAATTTGGAATTTTCGGTCAAAATCAAAGTCAACGGGTTTGACTAGCAATTTTGAGGCCTTCGAGTCTGAATTTTGAAAAACGGACTGCGGAATCGGATTTGGAACGTCGAAAAATATCAGGATAGGTATACTCGATCAAAGTCAAAGGTCGTTTAATGCCCGGTCAAAGCCAGTCAACTGTGGTCAACGCCGGTCAACAGTCAACAGTCGGCCATTTTACACAAATATCACCATAACAGAAATTAATTACCAAATTAGCCACATTCTGCAAATATTTATCAATCTAGCACCCAAATTTTACATAAATAGCACTCAAACATAAATTAATTACTAAATTATCACCCAGACGATGCCCACTCTCAGGGGGGTAGCGCGTGCGGCGCGTGAACAGTTATACGGTGTCGAAAAATTCCTAAAATTTATTTTAAACGATTTTAAGGCACTTACAAAGCTCGGTTCACAAATTTGAACAGCGGAGAGCTCGATTTCGAAACGTCGAAAATTTTGACGGTCTCACCCCTCCACGCGCCGGCGACGACGGAGAAACGAAAAACACCGGTGGACTCGGAACGATGCAAGGAACACGATGGTGTGGGAGGTGTCGTAAACGGATGACCGGATCGTCGTGAATCGACGAAAAACCATCTGAAACTGAGTTATTACCGACGATACTTCCGACTGAAATTAACGACGAACGGCGACGAATCGCTAAGAAATGTTTGAGGGGTTTTGTTCCTCGATCGACAACGAACACGATGGTGGTTTCGGTTCGTCGATCGGAGGTCGGACAACGAGTAGATCGGAGTTCAAAGGAGGGTTGAAGGGGGAGGGAAACTGGGAAATAATCTGCAGAACACACGGGGAAATGTGTTTATAATATCTCCAAAAGAAAAATGGTTAAACTATGAGTTTATCCATTGAATTTCCTATATTTTTTAAAATGATCTGTCAACTTTGAAATCTTACAATTTAATACTTAATTTTCTTTCAAATTACCAATTAAATCCACCACTTTATAATTTCTTAAATTTAACCCCTAAATTGGGGTGTTACAATTCTCGCCTCCTTAAAAGAACTTCGTCCTTGAAATTCATTAATGTCACATTATTGCAGAAATGAAACTTCCTTCAGTTTTTTTTTCATATCTTTCATGTAGCTCTTATAGAAATACGAATCATCCACTAATCCTTAACCAGTTGAGTATACCTTCTTATCAGAACTCTCTCTCATTTCAAGTAAATAATCGAAACAACTTTATTCTTGTGAAATCAATTCAGCCTTGGTTATGAGAATAGGCTCATAAAGCAGTAGCATATCCCAATTTCATTTCTGGAGTCGGGTCAGCATTTCTCGGATAATTAACTCTCACATGGTTCAGGGGTACTTTACAGCGTTTAGACAGATGTTACTGGTATTCCTTTTTGTACAAGTATAGCCTTAATGGATAGAAACTTCGATTTACTCATTACAGATAGGGAATCAACCATAGAGTTCCAGCTCAGAGAGGTACGATTGCAGTCTAGGGGCATGTACTGATCAGACATATTTTGACATTCGACCGGCCAGTCTATATTGAAAAATTTTGACTCAAACCATAGCTTTGATACCACTAAATTTGGGTGTTACAAATCCGTTATCGTAACAATGTCCGTTATATAGCGATAACGATTCTGTCTGATATTGTTTTTGTATGACCAAAATACTTACAATCATTTTGTTAGGTTCATAATTGAAATAAACGCAATGTAACTGAAAACGTGACCGCAATCGTAATTTAAATCTACTAAAAAAATGTGGCTTTTGATATCAACAAAATCAAGAATAGTTGCATTCCAAATAAACTTTGTCAAACATGTTGGGTTATTTTCTTATTTCCATAGCGGCTGTAAGGATCTTGCATCTTTGTCCCCACCATGGTGCCAAATACTCCACAGCTTTCCTCAAAATCATCATCACTTGTTTGATCAAGTGCCATTAGTTCTTCTTTGTACTTCACACTATCCATTCTCGTCTTCATCAAGTTGCCTCTAGCGTCGTACCCTTTTAACATGCCTACAACTTGCATCATATTCGGACGCTTCTCGGGCTCACTCTGCACGCATAGAGCAGCGACATAGATCGATTGTTTCAACTGGTTTTCTTCGAAGTGTCCCCGAAGCTTCGGATCGACGAGCTCTTTAAACCGTCCATCGGCTATAAGCGGCTCCGCCCATTCGGTTATAGTCCTCTTGACACCACCGGGCAACTTCTCTATAGGCTTTCTCCCTGTGACAAGCTCAAGCAAAAGAATACCAAAACTATAAACATCACAACTTTCGGAAACCTTTCCCCACATGGCGTATTCCGGTGCGAGGTACCCTAGAGTGCCCTTAACGCGGGTTGTCATGTGGCTTACGCCTTCCGGGATTAGTTTGGCGAACCCGAAATCAGCAACCAGTGGTTCGAAATCCCAATCCAGTAGGACATTACTGGCCTTGATGTCTCTATGAATGATGTGGGGTGTTACTTCATGATGCAAATACCTATAGAGCATTAAAACAATTGCAGTCATAATATGTTTCATAGTTCAGTGACAGACGAAAAACAAGCTTACAATATGCCTTCTGCAGACCCTATAGCAATCTTCATTCTCTTCTTCCAATCCAATTGAACATCTCCACCAAATTGACCATGCAGATGGGACAACACGCTCAGGTTAGGCTTGTAATCGTAGACTATGAGCCTTTGATCGGTCCCAACGCAGTAACCCCTCAGTCCCAAGAGATTTTTGTGCTTAACCCTTCCGAGAACCTCAACTTCCACCGCGAATTCCATTTCGGCTTTCACTGTCATGGCTTTTAATTTCTTCACAGCTATCTGCTTGCATTTATTCAAGAACGATAAAATCTACTCGAATCGTAGCAGTTTATAGGGGTTAAATGAACAGAGATGAATTGTTAATGAATCGTTCCGTGAATGGTTTTTGAATAGTTCGTATGATATTCATTTATTCGGTTAAATAGACGAGTCTGAACAAAATTAAGGTGTGGGAATACCTCAAGACCGTCACTAGTTTTACCCCAGTAAACACTGCCGAAGCCGCCTTCTCCGAGCTTGTTATCGTCGCTGAAACCATTGGTAGCAGTATGCAGCTCTTTATACGTAAACATTCTCCATGTCGTATTCCCTGGAGCAACCACAACACTTTCCATACAAAAAAAAGCATGCATTTTTGTTTCAGTATGATGGAATTAATAAGGAGAAGAGTAGTGTAAAGATGACTTTTGCATACCCTTCATCGACCTTCTCTGAACTGCAGCAACTCATGATTGATCCCATAGCTTTTGGCTATGGTGGAATCGTTACCAAAACTCAGCTGAGTTTCAGAATTTGGTGGTTTGTTCCCTTGAATTTAAAAAGAGATTAGAGGCGTATCTGTAGTTATCTCAGATGGGGTCAGGAGCCGTCCTTGGCCGGCTTCTCATAAGAAGTAGCTTCAACGGAGTTAACTAAGCAACATGTGTTTGAATTCATTAAATTTATTTAGTACTACCTAGACTACGACTTTAAAACAAATAAAAAAAATTGCTTTTATTTTTGGGTAAACTATCACCCATCTGATTATTGTAATTTTAGTCATATAACTACAAAAACTTTTAATTTAATCTCTAAGATTTAGGGGTGTAAATGAATAGAGCGTTCGATGAACTGTTTGTATAACATTTATTTATTAAGTTAAATAAACGAGTATGAACAAAAAATTTTATGTTTATTTAATAAACGGACAAACACGAACATAGGTGTATTCAGTTCGTTTATGTTCGTGAACATAGGTGTATAACAATAGTGCCCCCTCCAATTTACCCCTTTGCATTATTATTTTTCTGATTTTTCCCTATTTTTTCTTTATTTGAGATTTACGTTTCATTGTATTTGAAAAGAAAAGTAGAATTTCTTTTCTTTTAAAATTAACTACATTATATTATCTAAGTAATGTATAATTACATAAACTAAAATTTTATGTAGTGGATGATTTTATTTTATAACCTTTCAATTCAAAATTATTATTATTTAAGTAGAAAATGTCGTATTAGATATGAAGGAGGTCTTTAAAGGAAGAAATATGATATTAAGTTATTATCAAAAGTGGTGATTAATTAGTAGTAAAATAAAATATACATCATTTTACTATTTACATATTTTTAAAAAAATAAATAATAATTTATTCACTTCGATTCAATTATTGGATTAAAATTGAGATTATTTACTATTTAAATAAGATCTTGTCAAGTTAAATTATAAGTGTTTTTGGTTCCGTTTGTTTTTGCTTTGGGTTAAATTAGTTACAGGTCCATATCGGTTCAACTAAAATCCATGTCGATTTTTGTTCAATTCAGTTTGTTTTGGGTTTTGGGTTTCGGATCAAGTTTAAACTATCATGTTCGAGTACATATTAGGTCTCAGGTTGGATAAATTGGTTGAGGTAATCGGATTCATATCAAGTTTATCAAGTTAAGTGTTAGAGTTGTGTGATCCAAATTCCATTTGACATGACCCAAAGAATTTGTGATGCAACTCACTTGACAAAAGAAGATGATGCTACATTCAACAAGCACGGATGAATACCGTTAATGATTAGTACTATTAAATTAATCTATAAAACGTTAAATTATAAAATATTAAACATATAACTATAAATTAGTTAAAGAAAACTAAATGCAATTTAATTAAAATATAATATTTATAAAACATTAGTTTTTAGGGTAAATTATACCATTGACACATAACTATTTACCCATTTTACTTTAATCACCGATTTTTTAATTTTATCAATCTGATCATCTAACTATTTAAATCTTGTCAATCAAGCCACCTGCCGTTAAATATTAACAGAGGAGATGATGTGACAGTTGATAAATTTTGTATAAGTACACACTTAGCCCTCATTACTTACTCATTCTATTAATTTGGTCTTAACTTTTAATTAATTCAATAAATTAAAAGTAATATACACATTTTTCTTTTGGAGAAACCAAATGTAATAACTTATTACATGTGTGTATATATACAAATATTTTTCATTTTTTAAATATTTTTTAGGGGAGGTCATGACCTCACAAGTGGTTTGTCGTTGCATCTAATTTTTAGTGTATATTTATGGGGATTAGAACTTGAATACAAAATAAATTTACATAAAAAGAAATTTACTTTGAGTTTTCTCCAAAAACCAATTTCTCAGCTCTTTTTAATTTATTGAATTAATTAAAAGTTAGGACCAAATTAATAGAATATGTATGTAATGAGGACTCAATGTGTTATTATAAAATATTATTAACTACCACGTCATCTCCTCCGTTAATATTTAACGGCAAGTTGCTTGATTGACAATATTTAAATAGTTGGTGACTCAATTCACAAAATTGAAAAATTAGTGGTTAAAGTAAAAGGGGTAAATAGTTAGGTGGTCAATGGTATAGTTTACCCTAAAAACTATTGTTTTATAAATATTGTATTTTAATTAAATTATATTTAGATATTAAACTAATTTATAATTATAGGTTTATACTTTATAATTTAATGTTTTATAAATTAATTTAAAGGTGTTCATCATTAACGGTGTCCATCCACGCTCGACCAGCGTTGTAAAATTTTTCTTTGACAAATAAATAAAACACATACAAGTTGAGTCCATACAGAACTATACTTTGCAGTTAGATATTGATAAGAATAGAAAACTCAATCTGAGTAAATTTCTTTTATGTAAATTTATTTTGTATTCAACTAATCCCCATAAATATATACTAAAAAATAGAAATTAGATGCAACGACAAACCCTTAATAAGGGACTAGTGAGGTCATGACCTCCCCTAAAAAATATTTAAAAAATGAAATATATATATAATAAGTTATTACATTTGGTTTCTCCAAAAGAAAAATGTGCATACTACTTTAGAATTTAGAAATTACTTAAATATTATTTATTAAAATTAGTTAACTTCTATCTTTTCGCATTATTATTTTATTTTTAGATGATTAAAATTTTATTTTCCTTTGTCATTTTTGATTTCATTATATACAAAAATTTATGTGTTTTTCCTATTTGATTGTTTATCTTCTTTGAGGTGTTCATCTTCTTTGAGTTGATGAATTTAAGCAAGTTATGAAGTATTCAATTTTTAATTTCATTTCAATTGATTATAATTTTTTAAATATTTTTTTAATTTGATTTATATTTATAGTTTTAGTTTAAATATCTATATTTATTATGTTAGTTTATGAATTCTCATCTCTTGAAAATTTAATTTAGACACAATTCTAGATAATATTATTATCGATGTATTTTGTTTCTTTAAATTTTTATATGAATAGATGAATTTTAAATATTTATAATTTTTTTATTAGTATGATATTTTGACATATAACTTATATCGATAAAAAATAATAAATTCCTCCTCCTGTTAAATTTATGTTTATTAAACGGACTTTCAAATCGCGTAAAGTCGTAATTTTCTTATAATTCCTTTTTTTGTCATAATAAAATTTTGTCTTCTTCTATCCATAATTTTATCCGTTAGAATGTTTTATATAAATTTTGATATCTATTTTTTTCTCTTTTTAGTTCACGATTAGTACTTTATAGTTTAATATTTTACAAATTAATTGTTAAAAGTTTCAAAGTTTGGCAACCAACTTTGGAAAATGTTTTTTCAAAGTTTGGTAAATGTTTCTTTGAAAAATGTTTTTCAAAGTTTGGTAAAATTTTGGTAGATGTTTGTTGAAAATAGGAATGGGTAAATTCACTTTAGTCATTGCACTTTAGGGTATTTTCAAAGATTAGTCCCTAAGTTTCTACTATAAATACCCTTACCCATTTAGCTTCAAAATCATCCCAAAACATTTCATTCTTCCTATACTAGAGAGCTTTCTTGTGAGTAGTGAGTGTTTTGTAAACACCTGTAAATTTTCTCTCTTAGTAAAAGATCTGCAGCAGCCCGGAGACGTAAGCACAATTGGCTGAACTCCGTTATCAATTTTCGGGTATTATTTTTCCGCTTTTATTTTGCATTCTCACTAATCTGGTTATAGGGAAATTACTTGTACTCGGTTTATTTTCCTAACAACTGGTAATCAGAGCTTTTGGTTGTGAATTTTGTCAAATTTTCTGCTGCGAGGTTACTATTCACGTGAATAGTGAATTTCGTGAATAGTGAAATTCGGTCGGCGATACGAGTTTGTCGACGGTGGTGTTCTAATACACGGTGATTCGCAAGAATTGTCAGAAACGATCCAAAAGAAGCCAGATTCGAGTGGAAGCGATGGCTGCAGACGAAGGGAAGGTGAAAATTGAAAAGTTCGATGGTGCGGACTTTGGCTTTTGGAAGATGCAGATTGAAGATTTTCTGTACCAGAAAAATCTTTATCAACCTCTCTCGGGAAAGCAACCAGAGGGCATGAAGAATGAAGACTGGGCTCTTCTCGACCGACAAGCCCTCGGAGTCATCCGACTGACGTTGTCCCGAAATGTTGCTTTCAACATAGCAAAGGAAAAGACCACGGCGGGTCTTATGGCGGCTCTCTCCAGTATGTATGAGAAGCCATCGGCCTCAAACAAAGTTCATTTGATGAGGCGATTATTCAATTTGCGGATGACGGAAGGGGCATCGGTGGCACAACACCTAAATGAACTCAACACAATCACAACCCAGTTGAGTTCAGTGGAAATTGAGTTCGATGATGAAGTTCGAGCTTTAATTCTCTTATCATCTCTACCAGACAGTTGGAATGCTACTGTTACAGCAGTCAGCAGTTCGTCGGGAAACAGCAAATTAAAATTCGACGATGTTCAGGATCTGGTACTGAGTGAAGAAATTCGACGGAGAGAATCGGGTGAAGCATCAACCTCCTCAGCCTTGCACACGGAGTCTAGAGGAAGAGCTTCAGAAAGATATTCAAATCGTGGCAGATCAAAATCCAGACGGGAAAAATCTAGAACGGGAAAGAAAGATTTTACCTGTTATAATTGTGGCAAGAAAGGTCACTTGAAAAGAGATTGCCGAGCACTGAAGAAAAATACTGGCGCACAGGAATCTGCCAACATGACGGAGGAGACAGGTGATGCCATGATTTTAAGCGTCAACAGTCCGATTGAATCATGGATCTTGGATTCAGGGGCATCTTTCCACTCCACCCCATGCCGAGAAATCGTGGAGAACTATGTCAGTGGTGATTTTGGGAAGGTTCATCTAGCTGATGATGAAACCTTGAAGATCGTCGGAAAAGGAGACATCCGACTAAAGCTGCCAAACCAGACCACCTGGAAGTTGACAGGAGTGAGACATATTCCTGGCCTCAAAAGAAATCTGATTT